CCCCCAGGCCAATATTGGGCGCAATATATTTTGGCTTGCTTGGCTTGCACGGGATATATGGCGTCTCCCGAAAGAGGCAGTCACTCCCATATTCGCTGCGGGGTCTTCGTAACTTTACGGAAACCCTCAGTTACTCTTTTTCGGACATTGGTCCCGTCAAAGGTGCCACTCGTGACAGATACCAAAGTTCCACGAGCTCGAGATGCAGATTGTGGTTGGCTCTGGTTCCGTACGCCGCGTGTCGACGAGACCGACTCTCCCCACGTGTTAAGACAAGCCGTCACTTCACCAGCACCGAGTGCCCCTTCAGTTGTCAGAGATATCGGTACAATGCTATGCGAGAGTGCTCCTCCACCCGGGTAACTACATGAAGGAACTGAATAATCTGACGGCGCCCCCGTGGCCTAGCGGTACACCCCCCCTCCCCTTCTCTTCGTCTCACAGTCGTCGATGTTCAGCGTAAATGATCAAAGCAAGCAAGCAACCAGCACGGACACAACCAAGATACTACAAAAGACCACCCAGGCAGAACCGCCGAGGTGCATGCGATGCGCTCAACCGACGTCGCCGGCGCGACGTCAGCTCCCGTTCAGCGTGGCCTCGACGGCTGCCGTCTCGGCCGGCGCTTGCTTCGACCGCAGCGTCAGCGGGAAGGGGTACTCGTCGGGATCCTCCTCGTCACTGTACGTCGTCGTCAGCAATGCTCAATACGATCTCAGAGTGCTCACTCACGGTAGCTTCCACGCCACGTAGTCCTCGGTGCTCAACCCCTCGCGACCCTCCTGCAGACTGGCAAAGTCGCCCGGCGTCATCATGCCCGTCCGGTCTCTCGGCGAGCCCGGCACCGAGAACGGCCGCGAAATCTTTTGCTCCACGCCGGGGATGTAGTCGTCCTCGTCCTCCTCGACGCCGCTGAACGACCCCGGGTACGCCCGCCGCAGCGCCAGCTGGCGCGCCTTGACGTACTCCATGCCCATGCGCTTCCAGTCGAGCAGGTCGCTGAGCCGCTCGGTTCGGTTTCGCTGGTTGATGCGCTGGCGACGGCTCTTGCCGCAAAAGTCGTACATGTACGACGTCAGCTGGTTCACCGAGTCGTCGACGCCCTTGGTCCGCCTGTCGACAATGTAGATGCCGTAGTCGCTCGAGTTCTCGATCAGCTCCTCCATGTAGCAGCCGAACCCAGACAGGTTGGTCGTGATGCTCGGCACGCCCATAACGGTGCACTCGGCCGGCGTGTACCCCCACGGCTCGTAGTACGACGCGAAGACGCCCAGGTGGCAGCCGCGCACAAAGTCGTCGTAGTCGAGCGGCAGCACCGGGTTGGCCGAGTTGAGGAACTCGGGGTGGAAGATGATCTTGACGCGGTCCGTGGGGTGGTTGAAAAGCTGCACCCGGCGGATCTGGTTCAGGACCGGGTCCTCGTGGTCGTTGACCATGTTGTGCGTGACAATCGGCGGCAGGCCGCTGCGCTTCATGGCGAAGAGCCGGCGGCGCAGCAGCACGCGGTCCTGTCCGGAGATGAGCTCCTTCTCATCGGGCATCGGGTCACCCTCGTGCCACTTGAGGGACCGCTCAAACAGCCGGCGGCCGATGCTCTGCTCGATGACGTGCGTCGTGTCCCGCAGAGACTTGATGACGGCCTGGCCCTTGAGCGCCTCGACCGTGAGCGACGTCGTCTGCGCGGGCATGATGACAAACGCCACGACCGTCACCTTGCTGTTGGCGTTCTTGAGGCGGTGGTTGAGGCGGGCGAGCGACTCGATGAACATGTCGACACCCTTATTCCGGAACTCGTAGCGGCCCGCCGTGAACAGGAAGAGCGTGTTTTCCGGGTCAAAGTCGTAGTGGCCGTAGAAATGCCCGCGCACAAAGTCGTGGATCTTTTCCTTGGCCTGCTGGTGCAGGTTCTGGAACTCGTGGACGGCCGAGAACTTGGTGACGTTGAGGCCGTTGGGCAGGACGCCGTCGGGCTTGCGCTTGAGCAGATGCTCCGACTCGAAGGCGGTGATGTGGGAGACGGTCGTGAAGACGTCGCACGAATGCGCCGCCGCGCGCTCGATGCAGTACCGGTGGTAGATGCCGCGCTTGCCCGCCTCGGCGTCGACGTCAAAGTACTGCAGGTTGTTGTAAAAGTCGACGGAGCCGGCGCACAGGTAGCGGCCGAGGAGCGTGGCATGCGTCGTGAAGATGGTGGTGACGTCGATGCGCCGCTTCTTGCAGAGCGGCAGACCGACACCGGCCAGCCACTCGTGGAAGTGGGCAATGACGGCCCTCTTCTTCTCGTGCACCACAAACTACGGACGTCAGTCTAGAAGTTACGGATGCACCGCAGGGTCAAGCTCACCTCTCCCAGGAACCAGGCGACCAGGTACCCAAAGACGATGGCCTCGTTGGTCTCGTCGTCGCCGGGCGGCGAGGGGATGCTGGCAATGTTCCACAGGTCGCCCTTCCACTCGTTCATGTAGCCGTAAGCCGTCTTGGTGTCGATGAGGAGCACCCTCGGGGCGCCCTCGATCAGCCAGCGGCCGTAGAGCATGCCGATGCCGCGATCCTTCATGGACTGCATGGCGGCAGCAATCTCCGGGTTGGTTGGCTCCATCTCCTCCACCTCGACCGCAGCCTACCGTCGTCAGCACGCATCACAATGGTGAGGGGAGGTCTTCGCACCGATTGGTGGTTCAGCGGGCCGATGAGGGTATAGCGGTCGCCATACTCGGCAGTTGTGACGGGCGCCTTGGACTTGATGACGGAGTAGATGCCGCCGACTGGACGGAATTAGCGCGCACGATGGGGCAAGAACAGACGGAAGAGCGCAGACGCACCTCGATGGGCGACCTCGGTGGCAATCTCGAAGAGGAGGTGGTTCTTGACATCGCGAGCCGGCGCGGCCCCTTCATCGGAGGCCATGGCGAGGGCAGGTGAGGCGATCGTCGGCCTCAGCTAAGCAGCAGACCGGGGGCCAGGCGGAGAGGCGGCGCGCAAAGAGCACCGTACTGATGAAGCTGGAGAATGGTCCTGCGAAGCTGGGACAATGCTCGCCGGGGGCGATTGACCAGATTTTGACGGTGCAGGAGCTGGGGAGCGAGGCTGGGAGGGATTTGCGCAAAATGATGGCAAAGCCTGATCGATCGGGGACGGGATCCTTGCGTCAGAGCTTGGGGGAGCTGGTGGTGGCACAACTAGCGGGTGGGGTGAGCTGCTTGGTGGCCGGCGGTTGCGGGCTGGGCTGCAGGGCGTTTTCCAGGTGAGCTAAGGCGGTTGGTACAGCGACAAAGGGCAGGCAGCGCTCGGGCCAGAGATAGTGGCAGAAGTCTCTTTTTTCCGGAGCACGCACGGCGCTTGACGTTGAAATGCGAGAGTTGATGCTGGGAGGCAAAGAGTGAGGGGAAGGCGAGAGGGGCAGCCTCGAGCTTGAAGAGGCGTTCGTTGGCTTGGTGCATACGCGCAAGGTCTTGTTGCAGTACCTGTATGGCAGCGATGGGATTGATCGTCTCTCAGCCGCCGGCACAATCGCGGCGGGCAGGGTGTCTCGCCGTCGTGGGGGCAAGGCCCTGCCCCCGGTGCGGTGGGATGGAGGGCCTACCTAGCACTGGTGGGGTGCTGGCCGCCTGCACTGCAGCCCGGAGGAGCCCTCCACGGAGGTCTCCAGGTGAGCAACGTCCACTGAGGTGCCGCGCCGCCCGCTAGAGTGCCCACCGCGGTGCGTGAGGAGTGCCCAGGGCACTGTTTGTGCCAGTGGAGGCCAGGCCCGCGCACCTGACCAAGCCGACCTACGGTGTGGCCTGAGGTAGCATCCCAGCCCGCGCCTGGAAACCTGGAAACCTGGAGACCTGGAGACCTGGAGACTCTTGCCCGCGCTTGCCAGGTGTGGTTGCGTGGGTCTGGGGTTGCCCGGGACGCTCTCGTTGGGCGAACGGGCTCGCTGCTGTGCTCTGACTTGCCTGACTCCTGGCGGGCTGCCCACCGTCCGCCCACAAGCGCCGCCATCACCAGGTCTAGTCGTTCGAGGACCCGGCGCGACGGCGGCCTCGCCGATTACGAGTGGTACTGTATGCGTGGGCAAACACCACCGGCAGATGCAGATGCGCCAGAGGAACAGAAAAAGCCCTCATACTACTGCCAGGCACGCACGGACGGATGGTCCGTCGTGGAACCCGTTGGCGCCGCCTGCTCTGGGTCGTCGACGGCTGGTGTCTTCGAGTACTACTTTTTCGGCCAGATGGCGCCTGTTGGGGGCCCCTTCCCGCACCCATGCCCGGCTGCCGCACGCAGAGTTCATGCAGCCGTCCGGCCGCCAGGCACGGGATGACACAATGCCTGCGTCGGCGGCCCGGCTTTCTCACCACAGAGAGGTGCGTGGCGACAACGGGATGACGGCATGGCGATGCGGGGATGGCAACCACCCCAGACCAGCCAGCGGGAGCGCTCGCGTCTCTGCCGAATCATCTCGACACTCAATTCCCTTGCACGCCAAGCGAGCATGGGCAGACAAGACAGTCAGCGCGGGAGAGACGACTGACGTCCAGGATGATGGGCTGAGGATGGGATGCCACTTTCAATCTGCCCCTCCCGAGTCCCCTCTGGTCCGCCGCCTCGCCCCGCTCCAGCTCGACCCACAATGTCCTCGACCGCAACCGTCCACCGAGCGAAGCCCGGTAGCGCGCGCCCTCACCGGGGCATGCTCGGTGCCTTGTCCGGGTCCGCGACTCGACGTTGCACCGCGGGTCCTCTTGTTGGGCTGTTGCCGTTGCAGTCGTGCAAGTTGGGCTGCCATTCTGGGCCTGCCTGCTAAAATGTAGCTGCACTCAATATTCTCATTTTGACGAGCAACACCATGATGGACCTCGCGAAGCATTGAACCCGCCAACGAGGCTCATGGGCTTAAGGTATCGAGCCACGCATTCTACAATGACCCCGAATCGCCGACCCTTGCGTTTCCTCTCGACTTTCATCGTCGCCGTCCCATGGCGACCTGCCTGTGCAGTCTAGGTGGAGGACCTTCAGCCTTGCGCTAGCGCCGTCGCCATTGGCCGCCAAGTTGCCCCGCTGTGGGACCTCCATCGCGAGGCTGACCGAGTTCCCAAAATTTTCTGGAATCGGTAGCTCGCAGTGGCTTTCGGGAGCCATTCCACATCAAATTGTGTCAAATCGTGTCAAACATTCGAGACCACACCCTCAACCCTGACAATATTGCGTCAATCTTCTCGCAGAGACTGCATCACTGACGCGGTACCTCGGCGGACCGCCGTCCAACCTTGCGATGGACTCTTCACCGACCCAGGTGAAGGTCATCTTCACCACCAACGAGCCCGACCTGCGGCTCCCCGAGTCCAAGCAGCAGCTCCTCGTGCCCGCCGGTACGTCGCCGCGACTATCCTTGCAGAGCTTACAGAGACGCTGACGTGAACAGACATCAAGCGCTATGGCCTGTCGCGCATCCTCAACTCCGAGTCTATGCTCGACACCTCATCGCCCGTCCCTCTCGACTTCCTCGCCAACGGCACCTTTCTGCGCACCAGCATCGACGAGTACCTCGCCACCAACGGCCTGTCGTCCGAGACCACCTTGACCCTCCAGTATGTCCGCAGCTTGCTCCCTCCTGTCTACGAGGCGAGCTTCCAGCACGACGACTGGGTCAGCAGCGTCGACGTCTTGTCCGCCACGTCCCCGGCCGGTAGCCTCGCCGACGGGCCCAACGTCAACGAGCGGCTCGCCAGTGCATCCTACGACGGGCTGGTGAGGATATGGAACCCCTCCGGCGAGACCGTGGCGACCTCATCCTCTGGAAGGGCCGGCGGCCACACCCAGCGCGTCAACGCCGTCCGGTGGCTGTCGCCGACGCAGCTCGCCTCGGCGGGCCTCGACCGCAAGGTCGTCGTGTGGGACTACAGCGAGGCCGACGACGGCTTCTCCGGCTCCCTCAAGCCCAGCATGGAGCTCTTTGGCCACGAAAAGGGCATCAACAGCATCGACGTCAACGGCTCGACGAGGCGCGTCCTTACGGCGTCGTCGGACGGCCGCATCGGCGTCTGGACGTCGTCCAAGAGGGCCGCGCCGCAGGCCGATCCCGAAACCCTCCCCTCGGCGCATAGCATCAAGCGCGCCAAGCTCTCCGCCGCCGCCGGCTCCACGGCCCAGCGCGGGCCCCTGGCCATGATACCCGTGCACAACGAGGCCGTCACGGCCGCCATCTTCCACCCCAACGACGCCACCGTCGCGTACTCTGCCTCGCAGGACCATACCGTCCGGACGATTGACCTGACGACGCAACGAGAGGTCTCGCGGCTGACGACCATGCACCCCATCATGTGCGCCGCCGCGCTGCCCACCAACTCGCTCATCGCGGCCGGCACGTCGGCCCGACACATCACCCTCCTCGACCCCCGCGAGTCGGCGGCCGCCACCGCCGCCATGACCCTGCGCGGCCACGTCAACATGGTCGTCTCGCTGTCGCCGTCACCCGAGAACGACTACTCGCTCGTATCCGGCTCGCACGACAGCACATGCCGCGTCTGGGACCTGCGCAGCGTGCGGCCCGGCAGCCTTGAGGAGGGCGGCGGCCGCGTGAGCGAGCCCGCCTACACCATCGGCAGGGAGTGGCTGCAGGGCAAGAAGCTGCCGCCTGCCGGCGACGGCGCCAAGGTGTTGAGCGTCGTGTGGGACAAGACGTGGGGCATCGTGAGCGGCGGCGAGGACAAGAAGGTCCAGATCAACAGGGGGAGAGGGCTGCTCTCGTCATAGATGATGCATTTGTTTATATACCAATAGATTGGGGTTCGCCTCTGTAGGATGTGCGTCACGATGCCGCGCCCCGTGATTCGTCTGCGGCGCACGCCCTCGCGAGGTAGCGATACCGCCCACCCACCAGCTTCGCGTCCAGCAGGGGCAATATCTCACCTCCAAGTCTCGCCTTGTCGTAGGGGAGCCTCTCCGACGTGATGGCGTCCAGTATGTACGAGACAACGGTGTTGACCTTGAGCGGCGGGTCGCGCAGGAGTCCGGCGATGGGTTCCGGCCGCAACCCGTCGTTGGTGTGCCACAGGTAGTAGGCGCGCAGCGCTGCCGGCGTCGCCGACACGGGCGTCTGCTTGGAGGAGCGATACTCGCGGCTGCGGAGCTCGGCGGCGGCGATGCGCGCGTCGCGAGGCTTGGGGGCTGGAGAGGGGGATTTAGCTGCCTTGGGCGGCCTGCGCTTGGGCGTTGCCGTTGCGGGTTTGGAAGTAGATGGGGCGACTGCAGCGGCGTCGTCACTGGTGGAATACTCCTGGCTAGAGTCGTCGCTTTCCGGCTCTGACTCTACATAGGGGATCGGGAGGCCGAGCTCGGCGTGGTGAGGCCTCGGTGGGCAGGGGTCGAGCTCCATGCGCCTCCCCTCTAGGACGTAATATAGCTGGATGCCGGCATAGGCATCAGATGCAGAATCTAATCGGTGTGAGCAAGCTCCTCGTCCTCAAGCGCGCAATACACAGGTACACGTACACAGCAGCTGCTCGGAATTCAGGGGTCGCATCCAGTTGCTCGACCGGACCGAGTCGCCCTTGTACAGCGGCAGGCGCAGACACTCCTCGACCTGGGTGGACAGCGCCACGGGTATCTTGTTGATGAGGCGCGGCGTGCGCGCGGCCGAGTACTTGACCTGCTTATACAGGTGGCTGAGCTCGAAGACGCCGCGCGGCCGGACGCCGAGGTAGTTGCTGAGCCGGGTGCAGTCGCCCTGGACGTGCACGCCGACCTTGCTGACGGCGGGGTCCTCCATGATGCTGCGAAACGTGGGCGCGACGAGGTCGTCGGACGCCTTGCGGGAGGTGGAAGCGGACGAGGAGGCTGTTCCCTTGGACGACAACGCCCGGCGCCTTTCTGCCGCAGAGCCCGCGTCGGAGAACATGGCCACGTGGAAGAGCCCGATGCGGCCGGGGCTCGCGACCTGGATGAGGGAGACGTTCTCGCGAGGGCCGGCGGCGCGGCTTGCGTAGGGGAGCCACTCGAGGTCGAGCCCCAGGACGGGCTCCCCGAGGAAGTACTTGCGGCAGACGTGCTCCATGGTGTGCCTGCTGGTGCAGTAGTGGACGCGGACCTTTTCGACGCCGCCCGACGGCGTGACGCGCCGGTAGAGCGTGTGCGACCAGTACGACTGCGCGGAGCCGGGGGCGGCGGCGCGGGCGGCGCGGAAGAGGTCTCTCGACATGTTGAAGCTCAGCGACGTGTGCGGCGGGTCGACGGCGTCCTGGGCTCTGCCGGGCTCGCCATTGGTCGTGGGTGCTCTGTCGGCAGCCGTGGCGATGGACTTGGTGCCGCCTTTGCCATCGCTCGTTGATGTTGCTTGAGGGGTATAGAGAGCTTCCGCGAGGACTTCCGACGGGCCGGCATATACTTGGCCGCCCTCGTCTCGCCCCTCATCCTCACGCGGCTGCCCATTTTCCTGGACGTTTCCAGCCTCGGCCTCTTCCTCTAGCACATCGACGCTGCGCCCCGCGCTGACAGCATGGGAAAAGCGTGCCACATCCAGGCGAGGGTATAGCGGCGGCGTTGATACCGGGCTGGGCGAGAATCGGATCCCTGACGCGGGATCCCACAGGCGACTGCTCGACTTGTCCCTAGTCATGGCTCGCTTCATGAATTTCGTGCCCGCGCTCATGGGACGCATGAATGGCGGAGAGCGGCACTTGGATCGTCGTCGCGGCGCGCGGCAGGGAAGAAGAAGAAGAGCAGCGGCAGCAGGAGGAGGAGACGGCCGCAGAGACAGCACGGACACGCGCCGGGCATCGCCTGCGACGCGCGGGGACCCCTTGCACTTGTAGCTCATGAACGGTCGGGCACGCGCCGTCGAAGCTCCATGACGGCCGCAGCCAATGACCATGGCCCGGGGCGAGACGCAGTGAGCAGGCAGCCGCGCTGTGCGGCCAGGGGAGGAGGAGGAGGATGACGCGGGGGGCGGGCTGGATCGCGCATCACGATTCACGATGGAGCTGCAGCTCATGGACCAGCTCAGGCGGCGGCGCTTATTACAGTGAGTGAGTGCCACCTCCAGCTGGCCCAGCGCCCGTCTCCCCCCTCTGCCGCAACTGAAACGGGCGTTAAGTGCCTTAGTCATCGGCGCGTGGGCACGTGGAGCCGTGTGGCGGCACTAAACCCCCTGCGACGCCTGTCGCTGCAGCAGCACCTGCGGAACCCTGGTCGGATCTCAAGTCAACTCACGCAGATGAAGAGATCTCGACACCGACAGAGACTCGACCACATCCTTGTCCCGCCCAACTACCGTCTGTGTCTGCAAGAGACAGCACCCGGCCGTAGCGCAGCCCTCACGAACCGCCGCCCATCATGGCCTCCCAGCTGCTCCCCCTCGGTCCGCCCTCACCTCATCTGCGACTGACGACCCTTGGCTGACTTGCCTCCCCAGAGCTCATTGACAAGTGTGTCGGCTCACGGATATGGGTCATTATGAAGGGAGACAAGGGTACGAACCAGGTCCATCCGCAGGGACAGGCCACCAACTGACCTCGACGCAGAGTTTAGCGGCACACTCGTCGGCTTCGACGACTACGTCAGTGAGTGCGGCACTCCCCAGCGGGACGGGGACCGTTTGCTAATCACGTACAGACATGGTCCTAGAGGACGTGACGGAATTGTGAGCGGCATTCACGTGTCTGTGGTGGTGGCGTACTGACGCGTTGCAGTGACTACAGCGGCAATCACACGTCGCTGCCGAAAATCCTGCTGAACGGAAACAACATTTGCATGGTTGGTTGCCCCTCACGCTCGACCCCGCGATCTGTAGACTAACGCAAGCAGTTGATTCCTGGAGGCGAGGGGCCTGAGGCGGCTGCGTGAGAGCGGCATTTTACGGAATGGACTACGACATGGACCGCTCTCGGATGGGTGAATGCAGCGCACACCACGCTAGGCGCAGCGTCACTCGGTGCGCAGGGGACTGAGCCTGGAAGGCATCCCGTAGCAAGGGGCTCGTTTCCCCAGCAAAAGCGGTGCGGCAAAAAGACTGCCATCACGCAGGTAACGGTCAAAAAAAAAACGTCTCGTCATGGAGTCTACCTTTGGTTCCCTATTGTGACACAATGCAAGCTTAGTATAAATGGTGGTATCCCAACGCCAAATCGCCTTTTTACCCTGGAGCGCCCCCCGCTCAGTGGCCGTTTGTTTGCATGTTGCCCTGCTCGCCGACGTTTGTGATGCGGCGCAGCTCCCACTCGCGCGTGAACTCTTGGTGCAGGGACTCGAGCTGGTTGATGAGCTTCTCGCACACGGCGCAAAAGACCTCGCGCGGCGTCTTGGTGCCGTCGGTCTGCAGCCGGATGAACAGCTGTGGTACGTTGGGGTGGCCGACTGGGGGCGACGAAGGTCAGCAGTGAGAACGAGGTAAGAAAACGAGGCGCGGCGACAGGGGAGGGGGAGCGCACGCTTATAACCAGCCATGTAGACGTTGGGGTGCAGCTTCAGGTGCTCCGAGAGCAAGTTGCCGAGCGTGTGGTCCTCCTTGTTCAGGATGAAGTCGGACGTGTTGGACATGCCTGTGCATCGCGTTAGGGACAAAGTCGCACGAACGCACGAGCGAGGTGCAGATGCAGATTTCCGTACCAGAGTACACCTTTTCTTCAATCTTCTTTTCGCCCTCGCCGAGCAAGAAGAGCTCGAAACTAACGACAGTCAGTACATGAATCGCATGTGGGCGAACAGAACCAGCTAGTACGGCGAGTCCTGCAGGTTGAAGTGTCTCGAGTTGCAGCCGGCCATGATGATGGCGATGGTGCGTTGGCCTGGGGGGGGACGAGGGGAGGTGGTTGCAGCCGCGAAGCGAAGAGGATGAGCAAGGCAGGAGAAGGAGGGCGCAAGCCTTCCAAGGGGCCCGGAGAATATGCGCGCTCGCTGCGCGCTCACCGAACGCTGCGCAGTGCCTGAAGGGGAAGCCTGCACAAATCGGGCAACCACGCGGCGCGCTCCTGCTCCGGGCCATGGCCTCGACACGACAGGGCCAAGACGGCCATAAACGGAGCAGACGGTTCCCACAGGCCATGCCACGGCGTGCCAGCGCTATGCGAGCTGCCTCCGGCGTTCTCGAGAGGATGGCATCGAGCAGGAGCATCGTATCGCGTCGCATTCAAGGCGCCAGATCGCCCCAGATGCGGCGCCCGTCTCCCCTCGCCTAGCAGTCGCATCATGGGAAACCCGGACCAGGACGACGTCAAAGACCACAGCGCAATGAGAAAACAAGACTCACCGATCGGGGGCGTTCATCTTGGCGGCGTGTCTGGCTAGGAATTACAGCAGTAGCTGGATTTTCATGGTAAGCTCAAGGCGCAACGACGAGAGGGGGCGGCCGCGGGACTGGACGGAATCTCACAAAATTTAAAAAAACAGTATTCGAAACAGTAGCAAACGAAGGCGGCCCGTTCTTATAGAGACGAGGTCCAAAAAGGAGCAACTTTGTCCGGTGTCGGACAGAGAGGGGAGCGCGGTTGGTGCAGTGACGGACGACGGGACGTGGTGAGTGACGCCTGTCGAAATCGCGGGTCCGGTCCCCATTTGTATGGGTGGTCGTCGTCGCAAGGGGGCAGTGAGTGGCGCTCATTGTCGGGAGGGTTAATTGTCGGGTAAATACCCACACTTTGCTGCTTTGCTCCTTACTTAGCCCTTGGTGTTGCTCAAACTCACTCAGCTAGCGAATCCGTCTCTTTTGCTGCGTGGCCTACGAAGTAGGGAGCTTACTTGGTGCTGTGATACATACAGTCCAATTCCTCTCATGAATTCCTTCTTGTGTCGCGCCGGCCCAGTTGATGCCGCGACTCCTGCCATGGCTCCTCCGCCAAGCCAAGCGGCAGTCTCCTAACCTCGCGGCTCTGTTGCCCGCGTGCAGGGACATTCGCTCGGCGCGCAACGAGCTGCGCTGGATCGAGCAGCACGTCCATGAGACGACACGGCGCGTCAGCCACAGCAGCCGTCGAGTCCGGGAGCTTTGCCAGTCACGCGGCCGTGGCGTGCCCCTGCAGTACGTCCTCGGGTCGCAGCCGTTTGGCCACCTCGACATCAAGTGCAGGCCCGGCGTGCTCATCCCGCGGCCCGAGACGGAGGCCTACACGTGCCACCTCGTAGACTTGATCAAAAAGGGGCAGATTCCGGGATTGAACCCCGCGCGCGGCGAGCGCGAGGTGAACATTGTCGACTTTTGCACCGGCACGGGGTGCATCCCGCTGCTCCTATTCGCGTCTCTCCAGCGCTGGGCCACGCGCCTCAACGTGCTCGGCGTCGATATTGCCGACGCAGCTCTCCGCCTTGCAAACGACAATGTCCACCACAACGAGGAGCTGGGCAACCTGAGCGTCAACCAGCTGCAGAAGCTACAGATTTCACGGGTAGACGTGCTCAACGACGCCGACCTCGAAGCGCTGGCAGCAATGCGCTGGGACGTCATTGTCTCGAACCCGCCATACGTCTCTCAGCGCGTATGGGACTATGGCCACGGGCAGCTGGGCTACTCCGTGCGAAAGTACGAGCCGAAGCTCGCGCTCGTTCCCGGGCAAGGCATAGCGGTGCCAGACGGGTGGCAGCACCAGGACGTCTTTTACGCCAGGCTGCTGGACATTGCCGCGATGCTGCGGCCAAAGGCGATGTTGCTCGAGCTGGGTGACGAGGCGCAGGTGCGGAGGGTCCTCGGCAACTTGGCCACACACCCTTGGGCACATGGCTCGGCGGTTGAGGTCTGGCGGGATTGGCCTGACGGCGTTGACGACGGAAGCGCTCAGACACTTGACATTTTGCCCGACTCGGGCCAGCCGTGGAGGGTGCCAGTCAAAGGAGCCGGACAAATTCGTTGTATTTTCATCAAAAGAACGATACAATGAGCTATTGGTACACGTGCCGCTGGTGTAGCTGTCTAGGCGACCTGCCAATAGGTTCTGGTGCAACAGTACCTCTCCCGCGTGCCCATTGAAGATTTTCAGAGTCGGCGATCGACATTACGCAGGTGACTGATTTAAAGTGCCGTGACGCCAGCCGGTTGACAACTTTAACGCGACGATACTTTCTGTGACCACCGCCATGCTTTGCGTCATGGGCAATGGCTATGGTCAGCATCCTTACCGTGGTCCACACGTGCAACCAGCGCAGGCCGCCATGCCTGCTTGCCAACCCTCGCCACGTCAACCCCCTACGTGTATACGAAGCTAGTATGACCTGACTTGACACACAGCAACATCGCCTTTAGCCTCGGCCCGCAACCTTGCAAAGCTGAATCGTGACTCTTTTGCGAATGGTGTCCTACCGCCTAGTGTGTCATCTCCAATCAACCTCTTGCTTAGGCTTATAGACACGGCTCGTGAGCGATTCGCAGGATGCTTGGCCAAAACCTAGGCCTAGCTCAACCAGTATATCGCAATGGCTAAGCAGGTTACACCGCGTTGAGAGTAGCAGGATGGAAATCCTCAATGAACCTTGTTGGACACATAGAGAAAAGCAATTTGATGCTGCTTTATATAGTCCCAACGACACTGTGATTGCATGGACGTTCTGGCTGCCTTGAGCTTGAGCTACGATTACACAACAGCATTGTTTCATCAGCATATCGTCTATCAGAATTTGGTAACAGACTGTTCACTTCTGTATTCCAACACCATGATGCGCACTTTGATGGCTTCAATTGCCGCCGCTGTACTGATGGGCCAGCGCGTACGATCCATCGAAAGCCCATGGCTTAGCTAGCATACTGACCGTGTACAACAGGCGATGAGCTTGCAGCCGCCCGCACCGGGCTACGGCGTCGAAACACTGCTTTGGGATGTGGAAGTGGCGCGTGGGCGGTTCGAGACCCTGAACGGCACCATTCAGGAGGTCTACGCCCAGGTTCTCCGTCTCAACCCTCACTTCAAACTCCCAGAGGACCCCCCTGTAGCGAGGGGCCTGAACCGCAAGCGCAGCACTGTGAGATGCGGCAACTGGCCCCTTACAAGCAAGGACCGTATTCAAGAGGGCATCAACTACCTTCGTCGTCTGAATGGGGCCCCGCGCAACGGGCCTGGCCCGTCGAACTGCGGTCGCGTGAGCTGCTCCTACAACGCCGCCATCTGGTGGTGCAACGACGTCAGTCGCCCCCCTTTCCTTCAATGGCTTTGCACCAAGGGGCCGCTCATTCAATGCTTGCGTACTGATCGTGCTGGCAGAATACGGTCCCGAAAACGTTGGATAGCTGGAACTGGATTGCGGATAGCGCCCAGCACATCCTCAATACCTGCGCGCCCGGCGCCAATATGGTCTCTGGTCAGAATTTTGAGTCGGGCAATTGGAACACGATTGTCCGCCGGGATAGTTGCTGAACTGCTTAGCACCACACCAAGGAACACCTTTGCGTGCTCTTTGTCTGTAGGAAACTTGACCTGCGCTCGAGAGGTGGAAGTTGCTGTGGGCATGAGTAGGTAGGCTGCAGCGAGGCAGCGAATGTTTCTAGACATAGCTGAGCCTTGGAGGGCATGACTGCTTGAATATGTAGCCAGGTGCAATGTTGCGTAGCCAGATGGTCTTGTACGATGCCGCATCGTGATGGCTACCCTGTTGTAGTCGGTGAAGTTGCGGAAGATGCAGAAGCCTGCCTCTTCTTTCTGGAGAGCCCCTTTCTTTCTCGATGCCTAGTAGCAATTTCAGGATGCCTCGCCAAGTCTTGGAAAGAGACAAAACCATCTTTTCTGTGCATATAACCCTTGCACTAGAGGACGGCGATGGAGATAAGATCGAGCAGTACGTAGGTACCGGCTCTCATGTGACTATACGAATGCACGGCATGTACCACTACAGTAGCTGGCTGCTGGATACGGACCGGATACAAGGCCCTCGGATCCGTAAACACCGTCGCTTACTTGGTGCCTCGATGACAGAAGTTTTGGCCAGTCCGCACGGGGGCGTTCACGTGCAACAAAGACTTGCAATGGCGACAAACCGTGAATAATGCCCGTGTGATACTGTGCCATTCTCGAGCACCCGCGCCTCAGTGTGATACTTGGAAGATCTTTTCAACGCAGTTCTTGTTGTCCGAGGTTGTCATGAGCGACGCCTCAGACTGACCTATGCGGGTTTCGGCGTTGCCGCCGTTCGCGGCGTTACGGGTGGAGGTTTGTTGCGCGGCGCAGATGCCTGGTACGTACGTAGTCTGCTCTGGAGCCACCCGGCACTGTCGCACACATGCAGTCGGCATGCGCGCACGTGACCGCCCGCTAATTTTCGACCCATGGCAAAGACAAAGTGGGTTCCTCGCCAGAAGCTTCCTCTCGTGCTGTCATCGACATCCTCGCATCCCAACGCACCGTCCACGACGGTTGGATGCTCTTTTAACCAAGCCGCCGCACACCGAGCCCCCGAGCGCCACCTGCGCTGCTCATGACATAGCGCGGCCCCTTTTCTCCACGCCCTCACCTGCTCCGGTGGTTCCGCATCCGCGACAAGCCGTCAACCACCATGTCGAGATTTCTTCGGCAGTCGAGCCAGCTCGCGCGGCTCGCGCGCCTCTCCCAGCACTCGGCCCTGCAGCGGAGCCTGGGAGCGCCGCGAGCGACCCGGTCACTTGCCCTGCGCGTCTGCGCGACCCCGTACGGGCCTCGGCCGAGACACTTTTCCTCGAAGCCGCCGCAGCCGGACGAGGACGCCAAGTCCAACAAGGACAACTCGGACAAGCCGACGAACAAGAATGAATCCGAGAACAAGCCCGCCGGTGAGGAAGGCAAGTCCGAGGCGCCGAAAGCGCCGCTGCCGCCCTTGCCCGAGGGCTGGGTACGCCTGACAAAGGAGGAGATTGCGCAACTGGAGGGCTTCAAGAATCTCCTGCCCGAGGGCCAGAAGCAGACGATGACGGACATTCTCAAGGGCCTCGAGCAGACCGGCGCGCCGGGAGAGGTCCGCGACCTGCTCCAGAAGATGCGCCAGGGTCCGGGGAACCTGTCCATCCTCGACAAGGGGAGGCTGATGCGATCGGTCTTTATGATGGCCGAGCGGCTGGCCGAGTGGGAGGTGGAACAGCAGCAAAAGGGAAACCGCATGTTCGACCAAAACGACCCCGACAGACACACCCAAAAGGACGAGCAGCCCAAGGGCCAAGACGAGGGCCACGCGCGCGACAAGCGGGACGAACACCGATCGCACACCACCGGGCCGGGACAAGGGCCGCCAAAGAAGGAGAGGAATACCTGGATGGACGCCCTGCAGACTGGTCTTGTTCTGGGTGTGACCCTCTGGGCCGCCGAGTCGCTCAGCCGGCCATTCTCTGAGAAGGAGATTACCTGGCAGGAGATGAGGCGGGCATTCCTCGACAAGGGGCTCGTCCAGAAGCTCGTTGTCATCAACGGGTCCCAGGTCCGCGTTGAGCTGCACCCCGACGCCTCTCAGGCCACTACCGAGAACGGCGGCCGCCGCACCTACGTCTTTTCTATCGGCTCCGTCGAGTCGTTTGAGAAGAAGCTCGAGGAGGCGCAGGACCAGCTCGGCATCCCTCAGTCGGAGCGGATACCCGTCAGCTACGAGGCCGGCGGCAGCACCATGGGCAATGTTCTTTTGGCCTTTGGCCCTACTCTGCTCTTCATCGGCCTGATCCTCTGGACCCAGCGCTCCATGAGCGGCCGCGCCGGCGGCGGCGGCATGTTCAACTTTGGCAAGAGCAAGGCCAAGAAATTCAACGCCGAGAGCGCCGTAAAGGTCAAGTTTGCCGACGTCGCCGGCCTGGAGGAGGCCAAGACGGAGATTATGGAGTTTGTGAGCTTCCTGAAGCAGCCCGAGAAGTTTGAGAAGCTGGGTGCCAAGATTCCTCGCGGCGCCATCCTCGCGGGTCCCCCCGGTACGGGTAAGACGCTCCTCGCCAAGGCCACGGCCGGCGAGTCCGGCGTCCCCTTTTTCAGCGTCAGCGGCTCCGAGTTTGTCGAGATGTTTGTCGGTGTCGGTCCGTCCCGAGTGCGCGACCTCTTTGCCGAGGGCCGCAAGAACGCGCCGTGCATCATCTTCATCGACGAGATTGACGCCATCGGCCGTGCGCGCATGGACAGCGGCCGGGGATTCGGCGGTAACGACGAGCGCGAGGCGACCCTTAACCAGATCCTTACCGAGATGGACGGCTTCAACACGAGGGAGCAGGTTGTCGTGCTGGCTGGCACCAACCGCGCCGACATTCTCGACAAGGCCCTGATGCGACCCGGGCGATTCGACAGGCACATTTACATTGACCGGCCGACGATGAATGGGCGCAAGGAGATTTTCAAGGTCTACCTTAACAAGATTGTCACGAAGGAGGACCAGGAGTACCTGGTTGGACGGCTCGCCACCCTCACGCCTGGCTTCTCGGGCGCCGACATTGCCAACGTGGTCAATGAGGCAGCCCTCATCGGTACGTTGCCCGACTGACACAGAAGACTACTCATGCTGACAGACACAGCCGCACGAGGCAACGCCGAGGACGTCAAGATGGAGCACTTTGAGCGCGCCATCGAGCGCGTGATTGGTGGCCTGGAGCGCAAGTCGCTCGTGCTCAAGCCGGAGGAGAAGAAGACGGTGGCGTACCACGAGGCGGGACACGCCATCTGCGGCTGGTTCCTGCGCCACGCCGACCCGCTGCTCAAGGTGTCCATCATCCCCCGCGGCCAGGGCGCGCTGGGCTACGCGCAGTACCTGCCGCAGGACGCGTACCTGATGAACACGAACCAGCTCATGGACCGCATGGCCATGACCATGGGCGGGCGCGTGTCGGAGGAGCTGCACTTTCCCACGGTGACGACGGGCGCCAGCGACGACTTCAAGAAGGTGTCGCAGATGGCACGCAACATGGTGACGCAGTGGGGCATGTCGGAAAAGGTCGGGCCAGTGCACTTTGAGCAGGACCCGAACCGGATGCAGAAGCCATTCGCGGAGGCGACGGCGCAGCAGATCGACCAGGAGGTGCACCGCATCGTCGAGGAGGCGTACCAGAAGTGCCGCGACCTGCTGACGGAGAAGAAGCGCGAGGTGGGCCTTATTGCGGAGGAGCTCCTGAAGAAGGAGGTGCTGGTGCGGGACGACATGGTCCGAATCCTTGGCAAGCGGCCGTTTGACGATAACGAGGACTTTGAAAAGTTCTTTGGCGGAGGCAAGGAGGAGAGCGCGCCGCCGCCGTTTCCCTCGGAGGAGACGGACACGCCCAAGGAGCCGCCGACGCCCGCGCCGGCCTTTCGGGCCAGGTGAGGCAGGGCGAGGCGAAGCGAGGCGACTGGGAATGCAGGGCAGCAAGCAGCACACAGCGCGAGTTCAGGCGGATGAGTGATTCAGCGGGGCGAGGCAGCGGCCAACAAGGCGGACGGGAGGCTCTCGCCCGCGGCCGGCTGCCGGGAACTCGAGCGCGCGAGGAGATTGGCGCGTCGCCGAACCGCGCTGGGCGGTATCATGACGACGACAGGATATCTCTACTCCACGGCGGGGTGCGACCCGCGATGGCACGTCTCCTGGGAGTGCCGTGTAACTTGTACTTTAGGCTAGAACTGTAGACTTGTCCATACTACGGAGAACGGCAGACGGCGTTGCTTTGAGTCATATACAAGGGCGTTTTGTAAATCGTCTGCCAATGCCTGGTGATGCTGCGCCGCCGCCGCCGCCACGACGACGCAGTGCATCGACGCACGACAGGAGGGAGCTGGGGGCTTGGCAAGACGCATCGCGACACATTGCCAGCTGCGCGGCCTAGAACGTGGGCCGCTGCGAAATGAGGCCAACGCCGGGAACTTGAGCGCTCAATGGGATCAGTCGACCCGAAGAAGGTCGTCGTCGATCGAGGAAGTGACGTCTTGACAGCGGCTTGATGGAGCGACGTGATTGGACGAGAAAGTTCCGGCCTCGAGGGAACTGGCGGGTCGCGCCTGCTGGTCCGGGCAGTGGCACGTAGACGTCAAAAACGCGGGAGTCGGGGGCTCGACAGTACGATTTGGGAAGGAGCGTTTGATCCGTGGCAGGCGTCGGTTCTTCCAGCTCCTATTGAAGCGCATCTCGACATTCACTTTGATTCTTCACGACAAGTCTCGCAGCAACAATGCTATGACAACGAGCCTCGCGTTCGAGAAAGTCGGCAGTTGGGACTAAGTCATCGACGGCGCCAGCGAAAGACGGCCCAGTGCTCATGACGCAGGCAGGCTCAACGTCCAGCTCCACATGGCGCAGAACCATGAAGGCTCTTGAACACCCCCCAACAGCCCAGCGCCAGCAATCATCGCGCCAGCTGCCAATGGGTACCTTACAGTACCCAGCCCGCTAAATTTTCGACCGACTGACGGGATGGATGTGCCATTTCCCGGCCGGTGGCGGACTGTGGCTCCAGGGACGGCTCGCTCCCTGTCGAGTATAAGTGAGGCGTCCGCCACGTCGGCATGGCGCTTCATTCCCGCATAGTCCAGGTTTTGACGTGTATACCCGGCGGTATCTGCGGCTCGATTGGGTGTTCTGCTCCCTTGTAACGAGTTTGCAAAAGGCAGAAATGTCTTTTCGCGGGTCAGGCACTTGACACGACAGGCTCATCGCACTGACGCTGGCCGACCTCGCCGCTCACCGCCGTTGCTACTCGTCGCCATAGTTCTGCAAGGGCAGAAGTCGACACATACGCGGACGGGCCTCTCGCCCAACTCTCCATTCAACGAGCCAGCACCATGGCCACCGACAAGCGCACCGACGAGCCCGTCCTGCCGACTGCGGCCGCGGCGACGGGCTCCTCTCCCGGCACCACAGCAAGGACCAAGACGCGGCGCGAGGCGTGGTGGACGATTCATCCCTTCCGCGGCATGGTCAACGACCTGCGCCGCCGCGCGCCCTACTATGCCAGCGACTGGCTCGACGCGTGGGACTATCGTGTCGTCCCGGCCACCGTCTACATGTACTTTGCAAAGTGCGTCTTCCACATGCCCTGTTCTCGCTGCTTCTAACAACCAGCCCTCAGCATCCTGCCCGCGCTCGCCTTTTCGCTCGACATGTTCCAGAAGACGGGCTCCAACTACGGCGTCAACGAGGTGCTGCTGGCATCGGTCCTCGGCTCTGTCGTCTTTTCCCTCTTTGCAGCCCAACCGCTCGTCATTGTGGGCGTCACAGGTTCGCCCACCCTTAACACCTCCCTCCCTGACCAAGCGCTGACCGAGCAGGCCCCATTACCGTCTTCAACTAGTCCGTATCCTCCTCTTCCCTGTTCGTAAGGTAGCCCAAACTGACCCGCGCAGCACCGTCTACGACATAATGAAGAACTCGGGCGTCGACTACATTGGCTTCATGGCCTGGATCGGCATGTAGGCCACCCCCAGAACCCATCTCCTCCCATGTACGCAGCCATACTGACGTCTCAGATGGTCACTCATCCTCCACTGGATCCTCGCCATCGCCAACTCGTGCAACTGGCTGCGCTGGGTCACCCGCTTTCCCTGCGACATCTTTGGCTTCTACGTCGCCTTTATCTACCTGCAAAAGGGGATCCAAGTCCTCACTCCGCTCGGCGACGCGGCCCCCTTTTATCTCTCCCTCGTCGCCGCTCTCCTCCTCTTCATGGTCGCCTACGTCTGCGGCCAGCTCGGCACCAGTAGCCTGTTCCGTCACCCCGTCCGCGTCTTCCTCAAGGACTACGGCACGCCACTCACCCTCGTCTTCTTTACCGGTTTTGTCCACTTTGGCCGAATGGACAGCGTGCCCCTCGAGCGCCTGCCCACCGGCATCGCCTTTGAGCCCACGAGTGGGAGGCCGTGGCTAGTCCGTTTCTGGGACCTCAGCGTCGGCGACATTTTTACCGCCCTGCCCTTTGCCGTTCTGCTCACTATTCTCTTTTGGTTTGATCACAACGGTATGGCCCCTGCGTCCTGCGTCCGCCCCCTAGCCGGAGCAGGGTACTAACGTTGGCCTAGTCTCCTCGCTCATCGCCCAAGGAAGCGAGTTTCCTCTGCGTAAACCCGCCGGTTTCCACTGGGACCTGTTCCTCCTTGGCCTCACCACCGGTGTGGCCGGCATTCTTGGCCTACCGTTCCCCAACGGCCTCATCCCCCAGGCCCCATTCCATACCGAGTCGCTCTGCGTCACCAAGGCCGTCCGCGCCGGCGACGACGACGACAAGGCCCGGGACCGCGGAGTGGCCGCCTACACCTTTGAAGCCACCCACGTGGTCGAGCAGCGCGTCTCCAACCTCGCCCAGGGTCTCCTTACCCTCGGCACCATGACGGGTCCCCTCCTCGTCGTCCTCCACCTCATTCCCCACGGCGTCCTCGCGGGTCTCTTCTTCATCATGGGGTTCCAGGCCCTCGAGGCCAACGGCATCACCGCCAAGCTCGTCTTTCTCGCGCGCGACGTTGCCCTCACCCCGCCGTCGCACCCGCTCCGGGCCGTCAAGCGCCGTGTCGCCATCTGGCTCTTTGTCGCCGTCGAGCTCATTGGCTTCGGCGCCACCTTTGCCATCACCCAGACCATTGCCGCCGTCGGCTTCCCCGTCTTCATCCTCGCCCTCATCCCCGTCCGCACGCTGCTCCTCCCGCGCATCTTTCGCCCAGAGGAGCTCGCCGCGCTCGACGCCCCTACTGCCTCTGATTTCACAATGGAGGGCATCGGCGGCGCCTGGGGCGGCGGCACGGCCAGCGGCGCGGCGAGCGGCGATGACACCGCAGTGTCGACGCGCATGCCCTCTCCGTCGCGGCCCCTGTCGCGCACTGAGTCGCATATCCAGCGAGACGGCAACCGCGACAGCGTCTTTGCCGCTCCGGGTGGCCCACGAAAGAGCCAGGAGGACCTCGCCGAGATGGGACATATCCAGAGCGGCCAAAGCACCGCGACGCGGCGCAGGAGCGTTGACCGTCGGGCAACCGGCATACGCAGAGGAAGCCCCTCGCACAGCCAGGGACCAGCACCTCTCTAAGCATACACGCAGCAATTCGTTTTTTTGACAATGTTTGTTCACTCGTCTTGACGTTTTCGGCATACGAGCGACGCATAGTATACCCAGAGGCAATGGCCTCTTAGATCTTGCAACGATTAGAAACGCACGGGACGAGTTGCATATACATAACGTAATGGTGCTGAGACACTAGAAGCAATACAATATATCCGTGGCACTCATGATTGATGCCTGCCGTACATGATGCCCGCCCGTAGCCGTGCTGCCCCAACGCCGAATCAATGTCATTTAGTCATCATCGTCGCTGTCCACGACGAAGCCGCCCCTCACCCGCGGCCGTCTTGTTACCACCACCGGTGCGTCGTCCCCATCCGCGGCGCCGTCGCCATCTCCATCGGCAGCAGCGCTGTCCGGCTGCTTTGCTGCTACTCCATCCACGTCCATGTCCACATCGCCGTCTTCTTCCTGCTCTCCATCTGCCTCGTCACTCAGCCGCCTCCTCTTGCGACCCTCTCCCTCGCTGACATCCATCGGCGTATCATCCGTGTCGCTCTCCGCCGGCTCCTCCTGGCTAGACAGCACCCGCTGCGCAAACCGCAGGTCGTCGTCCTCATCGTCGTCCTCCTCGTCGTCGCTAACCGCAAGCAGCGCCTCCGACTTGCGCTTCTTGCGACCCGCCGTCGACGCCGTAATGTCTCGATCGAGCTCCCCTCTCGCCGACTCGGCCGCCTTCCTCGCACGCTCGGCAATGGCACGTTCACGCGCGAAAAAGGCCTCGTCCTCGTCCGAGTCGAACTCGTCGTCGCCCTCGCGCACGTACAGCGCCGACTTGATGCGCCGCGCCTTCTCGAGCTCCTTTTCGCGGCGGCGGCGGGCTTTTTCGTCCAGCTCCGCCTCGTCGGGCGGCTCGGCGCTGTCCTTGCGGCGGCGGCGGCGCGTCTTCTTGGCCTTCTTGGGCGCGTCGATGGCGCGGTGCTCGGTCGGTCCGCCGGCGGGGAAGAGGAACTCGTCTTCGAGCGCGGCGTCGTCGCCGTCTTCGTCGTCGTCGAAGGCGGCCTTTTTGCGCGGCACCGTCTTGCGGCGTAGCTGGTGCTCTGCGAGGACGCCGTCTTCAAACGTTGGCGGGCTGAACTCGGCCTGGTTGATGAAGTGCAGCGAGTCCTTGAGATGGTCCGCGGCAATGTCGTCTGGGACGATCCACACAGACTCGGCCGTCTCTTCTGAGGCAGGACCGAGCCGTTGAAAGCCGCACACCGTCATGAGCAGGCGGAGATATGAGTTCTTGAACATGGCTGTCCGACGGGTTTGGTCGTCGGGGCGTATGGCTGTCCAGTCAGCATGAGAAGCAACAGCAGAGGCGCAAAACACTCACTTATCATGGGAGGCTTCTTTGGCTCCTTGTCCCCCGCCGATTCCTCCTCAAAGGGGTCCTCGACCGACGGCAGAGCCTGCTCCGCCGCCACCCATGACCGCCGCTCGTTCTCGGCATCCGACAGCACGCGCTTCACCCAGTCGATAAGGTCGTTTTCGTTTCTGTCCAGCATCGCTCCCACCACAATCGCCACCTGCCGGTCGCGCTCCTCGGTGTGCCGAAACTCGAGTTCCGTCGCCGGCCGCGCCTTGGCCTTGCTGGCCGCCGTCTGCCGCTCGTACCCGTACTCGAGGAAGAAGGCGATGCCCTGCAGCTTGCTGAAGAGCATCTCCACCACCAGCTCCGGCCGCTCCTCAATCTTCTTGAAGCACTTGCGCAGGATCTGCTTCACCAGCTCCTCCCAGTCCTTGAACGAGCTCGACGACTTGTCGAGCGGCTCAGGCCCCTTGACCATGTTGTACAGCAGGTGGATGATGTCTACCCGGAACAGCATGACACTCATGTCCTGCTTGAACGCGAGACGGTAGAAGTACCGGTGCGCACGCTTCAGCTGTGCCTCGCTCAGATCCCGGTAGTACTTGGTGAACGTCGTAAACGTGTCCACCACACCCTGCGGCGTGAACCGGGCCGCGAATCTGTGAAAGTCAAACTTGCGCTCTTTGGAAGTGCGCTCGGCGTCTTGCTCGTCATCTGCCGAGTCGTCATTCTCCTCCGTGTTGTCTTCTCCCTCCACCACCTGAGCGTCTCGCTTCTTGCGTCGTGTCCGCTTGCGCGACCGCACCTGCATGTCGACGTTTTGCTTCGAGTAGGCCTCCAGGATGCGCAAGTAGTTGTGCACTAGCTCCGTAGCGGCATCGAGGTAGTCGAAGCCTTGGTCCTTGTAGCCACGGATGATGTTTGCAATAGCGTCGTGCGTCGACTCTTCGTAGAACAAGCGGCTCAGCACGTTTTCGGCGATTTCCTCGTCGTCGTCGTTGCCGCACGCCGACATCTCCTGTACCGTCAAGAGGATCTGTGTAAAGCATCGCATCACGGCCGTCAGCTCCTGCCAGTCCTTGAAGTCGTACGACTCGTGCAGCGCCCGGTTGAGCGTGATGAACATTTCCTGATTCAGCACGCCGGCCACCAGGTTGAAGCTGCTGACATCGCTCTCGCTCCGACTGGCGCCCTTCTTAGAGGCTCGTCTCACGCGCTCGGCTTCAAGGAACCAGGCCACCAAGTAGAAGAATTGCCGCCTGTGATACTGCATCACGTGGGGAGCTTCGCGGTCGATGGTCTTCCGCACATGCTGAAATAGCGGGTTGAAGCCCGAGTCGAGGAACTCTTCCACGAAACCGCGGAGCTGGTCGTTGGCCCGCGCGTTGAGCTTCGGCGGGAGGCCCAGCTCGCGCTCATCCTTGTTCTCCTTCCTCGCCCGCCGAGGAGGCTTGAACGTCTTGCTGCTATCAATCTTTTGGTTCCGCGTCGTTGCGTCTGCCAGCGCGTCCTGTCCCGAGAGCGACGACATCTTGCCGTCGTCGCGCTGGACCCAGACCATGGTCCCGAACCGGTTATGCCGCGTCGGGCCCTTGCGGTTGTACGCCTTGAGCATCGCCGATTCCTTGTTCATCATGGCAGACAGCTCGCCGGCCTTGGCCTTATTCAGTTGCTGCTCGTTCATGAAGAGCTTCTGCTGATCGACGCGCTTGACGAGGTGGTATATGATTTCCATGACGGTCGTGTCCTCGGTGCGGAACTCGTCGCCCATGTTGGACGCCAGTGTCAGGATGAAGATGAAGATGTCTTGGTAGGAGAATGCATCGATCGTAGCCGATCTCGATATCTGGGTTTCGTCTCCGTCGTATTTCACGTCGGGCGGTGGCGTAATCATGGCCATGTTGCGGAGGAAGAAAAGAACGAGCTTGATGATGCCCTGGTCGCGGGGCGTGCGGTCGCCAGCGGGTATGGCCATGGAGGGAAGAGCAGCGCGTACCGCAGTGTGGAGGATGCGGGCGCCGTCAAAGTTGATGATGGCGCGCTTGTACTGCACCTGCGCCAGTTCCAGGACGGGCATGTGGCGGTGGTGGTTGACCGTCATGCGCTCCTTGTCGCGCTCCATGGGCCAAGTCAGCGGGACCATGACCTCGAAGCACGACAGCGCGATCCGGGCCTTGAAGCGGTTGTCCATGGCGTTCTCGGGCCACTGCGCGAGGATGGGCAACAGGTCGCCCTCGACGAGGTTGGCGTCGCGGATACATCGTGCCACGTCCATGCGGTTCGTCTTTTCGTCGTAGAAGCGGATCCATCGTTTGATGTCGCGGAGCACCTCGAGGGCGTCGTCGCCGAGCTGATATTGGCCGTCGCCATCGGCACTGATGCCACCGAGCTGTGCGACTTGTTAGCACCATCTTACTGAGCATCTCATATCATCAGCCCAGGAGCAGCGTACCGCAGAGACGAGCGAGTTGACGTGCGCCCGCACTTCCGGATGGACAGTGTCCGCGGACCCGTCTAGAGGCTCCATGGTGATGACGGCCACTCAATGGGGTACTGCGCCGTGTTGCGGTTGAGGCCGAGTCGTAGAGGTGTGCCGCCTGTGACGGCCCTGAACGCGTCCAGACGCGTCTGAACTTCTGCCCGCGTAAAGCGACGCCTGGTGGGGGCCGATAACACCGATAAGAATTTCAGTACGTACTTGCGCTGGGTCGGTGGCTGATCCTCGGCAACGTCAGCGCCCGGCGGACGGCGGGCCAGGCGCGTTACAGTGGGCCTCAGCGGCTTCAGCGGGTGCCGGCGCTCGACAGCCACCCCACAAAGGCCGAGGTTACCCGTCCCTTATAGCTTCCAGGTGCCCAGTGCTGCCGACCGACGCCGTCCCAGCTGCCTCGCCGACCGTCCGCACCTCACGACACCCGACCACCACGCACAATGGCCAGCTCAATTCTTCGCATGCGGGCCCTCGGGGCGGCGCGCCAGGTGCGCAGCTTCAGCTCGACCCCGCGACAGCTCGCCGCCGAGGTCAAGAGCCTGGGCGTCATCGGCGCCGGCCAGATGGTTCGTCTGCCGTCCTTGCATGTGAGAGACGACGATGCTGACTGCCGCTGATGCTCAGGGTCTCGGCATTGCCCTCGTCGCCGCGCAAAAGGCCCAGGTCCCCGTGACGCTCATTGACACGTCCGACAAGGCCCTCAGCAAGGGCATCGCCTTTGCCGGTTCGTCGCAATTGCAGTCCCCGTTCGTATACACGCAATTCGCTGACCCGCCGCAGAGAAGCTGCTGGCCAAGGATGTGTCCAAGTCGCGCATCACGCAGGAGCAGGCCGACAAGGCGCGTTCCCTCCTGACGCCGAGCACCAAGATGGAGGATCTCTCCGCCGTCGACTTTGTCATCGAGGCCGTCCCCGAGATCCCCAAGCTCAAGTTCGACATCTTCCGCAACCTCGCCGAGGTCTGCTCCAAGCACGCCATCCTCGCCACCAACACGTCCTCCATCTCCATCACCCGCATCGCCGCCGCCACGACCACCGACCCGACCGACACCTCGGCCTCGTCCCGCGTCGTCTCCACCCACTTCATGAACCCCGTCCCCGTCCAGAAGGGCGTTGAGATTATCAGCGGCCTGCAGACCAGCAAGGAGACGCTCGACACCGCCGTCGAGTTCTGCAAGCGTATGGGCAAGGTCACCTCGGTGTCTGCCGACTCCCCCGGCTTCCTTGCCAACCGCATCCTCATGCCCTACATCAACGAGGCCGTCATCTGCCTCGAGACGGGCGTCGGCGACCGCGACTCCATCGACGCCATCATGAAGAACGGCACCAACGTCCCCATGGGCCCGCTCCAGCTCGCCGACTTCATCGGCCTCGACACCTGCCTCTCCATCATGAAGGTGCTGCACGAGGAGACGGGCGACTCCAAGTACCGCCCCAGCGTCCTGCTCGGCAAGATGGTGGACGCCGGCTGGCTCGGCAAGAAGAGCGGCAAGGGCTTCTACGACTACTGAGCATTTTGTAGATAGAAAATGTAAAATCTTGTAACGCCAAACTGCCTTCGCTTGCGCGTGTTTTGACTCTTCTGTACTTTCTTCGGCCATAACAACATCGAGCGCACCCATCGTTGATGTCAGCATACAGTCATGGCGCGACCCAGAATGATGTGCAACTCATGAGTGCACCGTGCAACGCACGGGAGGCACGAGATGCACGAAAGGAGCGAGAGGAAGGAGAGGAACGATAGAAACGAAAGGAAGGAGAGGAACGAAAGGAAGAACAGGCACGAGAGGAAGGAGAGGCACGAGAGGAAGGAGAGGCACGACAGAAACGAAAGGAAGGAGAGGAACGAAAGGAAGGCGAGGAACGAGAGGCACGAAAGGCACGAGGGATGGAGGAGACGCTGTCTGATGAAATTGTCCCTTTGACAATGTTGCGCATGTGGATCTTGTTGCAAGGGAGTTGCTGAAAGCATTTACACGCGTGGCGACACATGGGCGTTGGCGGGGCTGGCCATGTTCTCGCCAGTGTGGGCACGTATTTCCTGGGGCGCCGTGTCCAGCACCCGACCATCGCCAACGCTCCCCCGTCGCAACAAGTGGCCAGCACAGGCTAGAAATGAACATGCACACTGGTCCAGGCTGAGGCAGCATTTTGCAATGACCAAAAAGATGGACCACGCCCATCAGCAGCTGGCTGGAGCAAAAAAGTCGACGACTTAGCGACAGAAGCAGGGTTCGAACCTGCGCGGGCGAACCCATGTGATAACTGTTTGCAAAATAACGTTTAAAAGCGTTATTTGCTGCTTCAAGTCACACCCCTTAAACCACTCGGGCATTCTGCCGGTCTATTTTCGTGTCATACGTTGTGGAGAGTCGATTTGTTTCTCTATATATGCCTCTTGGTGGCGGTGGAGTCGGGCTTGGGCGTCGCCGGGTGTGATCGGGATGCTGCCACCCCACCCACGCTGGGTGCAAGCCCAAAGTGCCACTGCAAGAAAAAAAGCACTCGAGTGCCTTTGGCTGTCAGCGACTGCGTTGCTGCGGCGTGCGCAGCAATGCTTGGCTTGTTGGTGTGAGTTTGTAGGTGTTCCCCGTTGACGTTGCTGCCACCACCAAACAAGTGATGCGGGACGGGCCGGGTCACCCCGGCCCGCCCGCGCGTCGAGAGCGGATGGATGGTGAGTGGGAAGGGAGGATGTTCATTGATGCCATCGCGATGCAGCAAAGGGGAAAAGTGTAGAGCAAACGGAGAGGTTCAGGGCTTGGGACGGCGCACCAATCGGGACGGCGTCCCTCCACTGGTGCGTGGCGGGGTGGTCACTGGAGACAGCCCCAGTTTGGGCAGCGGGCCAAAGTGTGGAGGGCAAGTGGGCACGACGCCAGCTTGAACGACGACCATCCTGCTGTGCAGCGAAGGAAGTGCGCGCTGTGCGCGCACTTCTTTGCCTGCATAGCTGGTGTATGGTGAAGCTGGAGTCAGTTACGCTGGGCGAACACACACGGCCCTAGTTCTACTTGCATTTGTGTCCAACCTTCTCGGGACATGGATCATGGCACTCAGGATCGCATCGCACTGGCTTGGCTGGGCTTGCGGTAATGCACGACGTTGTCAGAGCATTACAAGTAAGTTAGTCGTCTATGCCCCCATGGATGACTCTGCAGAACGCGATATCTAGGATGCACAACACTGGAATGTACAGCACCATGATGGTGTGCGGCGGCGGCCGCACACCATTGCCTGCTCACAGCAGCCTGTGAAGGCTCGACGTGTCCCTGCACGGCTGACTACGCTTGCGATAGAACAAGGGGAGGAAAATCTTCCGGCATATATAGAGAAACAAATCGATTCTCCACAACGTATGACACGAAAATAGACCGGCAGAATGCCCGAGTGGTATAGTCTGCCGTGCTGACCGCGTTAATGACTGATTCGCTGCTAGAGCAGCGAAGCAGTACCGCCTTGGCATATTGTGACCCGATTGCTTCGAACTCGCTCTGCTGCCATTGCTCGAGCCTCACTTGCCCCACCTTAGACTGCCTCAGCTGTGAGATTTGCCTTCGGTTGGGGCTCAGCAGAAGCACCCAGAGCATCTGATCCGTGAGCGTCGCACTGGCACATGTTTCTTAGAAGGCCATTTCCTGAATCAAAAGCGACGGCTATTACAGTGAGTCCAGCACGACAGTGTGGAAGAGATGGAGGCGTGAGGCAGGAGGTGGACTGTCCATCACCTGCTGGCCGGAGCCAGTACCAGCCTCGAGATTGATCACGGGAATGCCTGCGCCAGTGGCGATGCAATTGATGTCTGATGACCGGGGCGTACGCGAGGCTCTCGAAATATGCATGCACTGTCGGGAATCGCGGAGTGTCATCCGTACTGACATCGACGCAACCGAGACACACAACTGTTGAAAGCCTGTCGGCCTGGGCAGACTCAAGTGTGCTCCAGCCTGGTTCCGATAAAGCAAGATATCGTAACTACTACCTAAGCAATAGCGATGTGCCAGCTTGGCAGCTGCGCGTGCATAAGGTACGCCCTGGCACCTCGGGACGCCACGTGATTCCCGCCACGAGAGCAGGCAGCGTGCAGTGGAAGAAACCACGGAAGGAGCGACTCGGTGCGGTAGGGCAGGCACCCGCGCACCACCAACCACGGTACCCCCACCCCATGTTTTCCCACCGAGCTCTCGCTTTTTGGACTTGCTTCTCTCTTCTTCTCCCACAAGAGTTCAACAACTGTCTCCTCAAGGGCACCACCCCTCGCGGTTGAAGTATCACGATGACCAAGAACGGCGACTGTTCGTTCCTACCTTTACCTCCGCCGCCGCCACCAGCACCAACTGGTGGCGGCGGTGGCCGAGACGGGGGCGGGCGGCAGCGGACTCCTCTTCAGCACGAGTTGGTGGTGATGGTGATGACCACCATCAACACCACCACCAACATGGTAAGTCGCTATAACGGGACTTCTATATGAGCCAATGTGTACTGACGAGGCAGCATGCTGCCGCCCCTGCCGCCCCCACCGAGGCCTCAGTCGTCCGGGCCGACGCCACCACCGCCGCTGGCCGCCGGCCCCGGTTCCCGGAGCGATGCCACAGTTGTGGCATCACTGGCCACAAGGCCAAAATGTGTCGCCGCTGCCGCAGTATGTCTCATCCGATCATTGCCCATGGGCGTTTTATCTTATACTGACTTGAACAGACGCCGCCACAGCGGTGTGAACGTTTTTGGCGGCAACGTCAATATATATAATATAATAATGTACGTCACCCCGCCAGTACGTGGAGAGATGGCTTACCAATGCGAACGCCAGGAGCTCGCCACCAGCAGCAGCGGTTATTATCAAGTTTGATGGAACGAGAGGAACGAGAGGAACGAGAGGAACGAGAGGAACGAGAGGAACGAGAGGAACGAGAGGAACGAGAGAAGAAGCAGCATGTTACCTTTCTCATTCTCACAAATATGATCTCTTGTGTCATCTTCCTCGTCAAAGCGAGTAACTCGACCTCGCGCTCGGTTCTCTTTGGTGCGAGTGTGTGGATGTTGATAATGACTTTGCTATTGTGTGACTCGCCGTCCTCGTCCAAAGCCATCTTCTCTGTCGCAGCAGGCGACTTAGCCCTGCCACGGGGCCGGGGCCTGAGCATGGCGGGTCGTTGTGGCCAAGATGACCGCGACGGGATGGCTTGATAGCGACATTGCGGCTCCTTGACCCAGGCCATTGGTCTGGGTTTTTGCTCTCTTTTAAATTCCGCGCTGGTATGCACTTGCTAGTCGTCTGGGCTAGGTGCCTCCAGAATTCGCCAGCCGTTTCTGCTATCTACCTCAAATAGTCACTGAGGTTGGGGGGAGGGACGAAGCCGAAGCGACCAAGCCTTTGTGGTCGGGTGACCAATGACCAGACAATGACAGTGGGCGGCAACACGACGGGGCATCTCTGTATGGCTCTCGCCGCGAGGCATTGCCCGACAGTTTCCCTGCCGCAGCGTGGACAGGAACCAGGGGAACGCCGATGCGAAGTCCAGAACGGGCGTTTATGAGCCAGCGCTTCTCTGTCGATCTGCCGCAGCCGTGGCGCGACTTGGCCTGTAGAGGTGGCTTACCTAGTAGTGGTCTTGTCAGCGAACTGTGTGTTAGTGCAGCGTCGCCTGGAGTCCATCAAAATTGGAGCAGCGCCATACTTGTCTCCCATCTCCATCAGTCCAAGCGACGCCGGGCTCAACAGTGTCCGGTGCAATAGCAAGGCCGACTCGCCGGTTCCCCTTTCCCCCAAACAGCTGACGGATGGCTTCGTCATTCCGGGACGGGTCCCGAGTGCTTCCGGACGGCTCGTCCTACCCGGACGAAGGGGGCTTCGGCCCACGGCCCTGCCTGGCAAGCTTCAGCCGGCACCATCAGCCTGTATGCGATTGAGGGAGTTGTAATCACCTACCCTTCACTGGGCTGTCAGTCAGGTCCGAGGGTGGTGGCGTCGTGGTTGTCGGGCTGTCAGCCGTCAGCCAGCGCGCGTGGCGCATGGCGCGGGTTGCCAAATCCCGGCAAAGTCAAGTCGTGCCTGCGAACACGGTGTCTTGCGCCTCTGACATCAGTCTGCAATTCGGGAGGACCGCTGTGACGGGTATATAGTATAATAATAGCCTCGAGCTGAATCGCCGCGTCCCGTAGCAAGCCTGCTTGTGGTATCGTACACTGGCCGACAGCAACGCAATACTCCACGTACAAACGTCTCCATGCGGGCGACCTCCAGAATGGCGCTGGCGGCGGGAGCAACTCTCATCGGTTTGTCAAGACCTGCCCTGCATGAATAGCAACCTTTACTGTCATGTAGCGTGGTAGTCTCGGGAAAGACAGCAAACGGCTAACGCACTCCCCGAAGCTGCGGCCAGTGCATTTGACGGCGACGACTTCCGAGCTGACCCCAACGCGAATGCGTTCCTGAGGTCCTATGACTCTCCCGGACGAAGCGCCGATGGGAACGGCGAAAACCTTGGCCACGGCGGGCTGGTCCGCCGAAGCGGCCCTTCGATAGACACCCTTCTCACGACGCACGGCGTCCTCATGACGCTCGTCTTTGTCGCCGGGTATCCCATCGGCGCAATCATGTCGCGCTTGATCCATCGCTGGTTCGTCCACGCGAGCTGGCAGCTGCTCGTCTATTGCGGCATGTGGGCAGGGTTCGGCGTCGGAATAGTGGTCGCCCATCGTTTTGACCTCGTGAGTGTCGACCCGGATCCAGATGAGCGCGGCGCACGCAGATTGGGGCTGACACTCGCAGTTCTTCAACACGCCGCATACGCGGCTCGGCGTCTTTGTCGTCCCCTTGATGGGAATACAGCCCCTGTTGGGGTTCCTCCACCACGCCTACTACCGCAAGTACCAACATCGAGGCATCATCAGCTACATCCACATCTGGTACGGCCGCTCGCTCATGATCATTGGCGTGGTCAACGGGGGCTTGGGCATAAAGTACACCCGCGAGCTGGGGTTGATCCGTCCAAGCAAGGTCCATCAATTGGAGATCGGGTACATCGTCGTTGCATCAATCATGGCAGCGGCGTATGTCGCGTCGATTGCTTTTTCATACTTCAGAGCCAAGCCCCGCGACTCCCGGCAGATTGACAAGTGATACGGAAGGGGAATCACGCATGAATACTTTGGGTTGCGATCTCGCGTTGCCGTCACCACAACCGAGCGAGACGACATTCAGAACACCGTATGTCCAACGATCCACGACCTGAACGGACCAGAAGGCTTTGTTATCTCTCGAATATTGACTTCGCCATGGGAAACCGCGCGGATCTCTTCGCAAAACTGGTCCCTGACACCCGCCGATGATAAAATCGCGTGCATTCCCGCTTGCTCTGTCCTTGGCGGCAAAGGCATCGATGCCTCGGTCGCGATATTCATGATCTTTCGGAAGCGGCTGCTTCTCGTTCTGCGCACCTGGTATACCATTAGCACTCTGGACATTTTTCTTCCTGCTATAGCACAGTATGAATCAAGATATTTTGCGATGGTGTACGCTCCTCGGAAGCCGGTCTGAAACTCACCAGGTAACCCACCGGAGGGCAGGAGAAGAAGGAACGAATGTCGCCGTTCTTGGTCATTGTGAGAACAAGGTATATGTGCAGAACCACAAAAGTAACAAGACTTTTCAAAACGCAGGGGCGTGTGCTTTCACAGGACCAGTTGTTGGACGAAGTGTTTTTGCTGGGGGAACAAGGGAGGGAGGGAGGAAGAACGGGAACCCTTGGGCGGAGGAGTCGGGGCGGGTGTGTGACCCTGCCCGGGCGCCTGCCTCGCTGCGCTAGACCGTTCCTTCCCTTCCCTCATTGAGTTCAAGCTCCAGGGCTCCCAGGATAGTAGCTGAGGTACTGTAGGGCGACTGGCTGCGCTTCCTCTCCAAGGGAAGCCCGCTGTATGGGAAACCATACAGCGACCGTCCCAACACACAGCCACCCCAACACTTCCGGGCTGGCCACAGGCAAGGTGCTGAAAGCCGGCCAGCACAGGCCCCATTCAATATCGCCACGGCCGGCAATCTCCAAGTAGGCCAAGGAGCTTCCAATATGCGCAAGAATGATTCTGGCCGAACGAAATCGATCGCGGGGGACAAGTGGCATCGCCGTCACGCCTCCAGACACTCTGCGATTCCTCACGCTGCATGCGCGTCGCAACAAATTTACTTATACCAATAGACGAAGTAGGCCCTGCCAGCTCTTCTCGATCTAACTTTGCCCCGATTTGCCCTTGCTTTCCCTTCGCGAGTGCGGCCAGCTGGTCGGGACAGTCGCCAGCTGCGGACCCACTTAAACCTGGATCAGAGCAGACCCAACACATCAACTGCCTACCAAGCAGCCTGCGAGCGGTGCAGAAGGTGTACGTGCTTACACTTTATATATCTCGAGACATTAATTCATGAAATAGGAATCAAAGGTCATCTTCGTAGTGTCCCGTCTGGGCGCCACGGCTAGATGAGCAATGAAGCCAGTCAATGGCCTTGGTCGTATGCACGCAAGTCAAATCCCACTTCTCGAAATCAAGGATAGGGTCTTGCCTGAGGGGCTGCATCGGCTCGGACCGCAGATAAGGCTGGAAATTCGCCGTTTGCCACGGCTGTGGCGAGATAACCGGCGCCCTCCCACGCGCGATTTCCGCGCACGAGTCGGACGTGGAGTCTCTTCACCGTGAGTGGAAGGATATCGGCGATGCAGGTCGGCCTCTCTGGCTCGTTCGACTTGTCTGGATAGCCGGGTTCGGGTTCAGAGAAGTCGTCGTCGTCGTCGTCGCTATTATGGCCCAAGCTGCGGTGGCCAGCGGTCAGGCTGCAAGACGACTTCGACGAGCACATTGCCCTGCCCCGGCCACCTTGCTTCTCCGATGCTGTGAACGCATTCCTTAGCGTGTCCAGTACTAAAAGTTTCATAAAAACGGAGTACTGCCTTGAATTTTCTACGGTCAGACAGACTGTTGCTTTTGCGCCATGCCTCCCACCCTGTTCCGCTGCCGCCAAACCCGACAGCTGGCGCCAGGTGCCGAGCCAGCAAACTTTTGGACAAGTGACACCTGGCAAAGATCCATAGATTGAAGATCCGATGGCTTTCAGTGCAAGTGCCTTGATAGGACGTACACGACTCTCTGTATATATCAGTTCGTAGATCGTCGAAAATGCCAGTCTTTTCACGCCGGCACGACCAAGCACTCCCAGGCAGCTGTTCTCTCGAACCGAGCGAGCTTGTGCGCTTCCACAATCCTAGCTATGAGCCTGGATCCACTATAAAGTGGGTCCTCCGCTGCCAATGTACTTCTATGGGACGAGCCAAGGTGAACAAGTCTCGGCTCCCCTTATAGTATATGAACCACCACTGTAGGTCGGGAATAGGATGCGGCTCGAGCCATAGGATCCCATAACTATACAACGGGGAGCGTGTTCATCTGGAAGAGCTCTATGGCCAATTGCGGGCTAGCTAGGAAAATATAAATATTAACCTCTCGCTCCGCCGGTCTTGTTCCTCTTTTCTCCTCAGCCATCCTTCTCTCATCGCGTCGTAAGTACCCTCCCGAATCCCCTCGTTGACAGGCTTGCATGATCAAGATTTCGTCTTGCTCTCTCTCGCACCCTGTCCCCCCCCCCGTGTTGTTCCTTGATATGCATACGCATTCTTCCGTCACAGCACATTCCCCTGAGAACCGACACCCCGAGTCTCTGTCCTTTCCTTGAGCTCCCCAGCACCCCCCTCCCTATTAGTTCTGTTCTTGCATGGCACTATTTCCACTCGAATTCACCTCGTTCACTACGGCACAGTTTTCCTGGGGTAGTGCCCCGTGAGGATGATGTGCACCGTTCCGTCGTCGAGAACCCTGTTTGCCCGCTACCGCAGCAGAAACGTCTACGGTTCCACGCGGTCGCCGGCCACTTGTTTGCGTTTATTCCCATGCTTTTCCACCTGCTGGCAAAACCATTTGGACAGCTGCTAACCTGTGACACTCTGTCAAAAGTGTTGACGTTTTTAACCACGTAAGTCTCGTCCGCAACTCTACTCAGACCTTGTACTGACGTTGAATCAAGCAGTATATCAAGTATTTCCTGCGGTAAGATCATGTCGTGCAAGCAAACGACATCTTGGCTAACTTGCGAAGTGCCAGTCCGTCGTCGCCGCCGCCACCACCACCACTACCACCACTACCACCACCACCATCACCATCATGGTAAGCGTTCCCCATACAAACGTTAGTGATCCCTGCTAACAAGACAGTCTGCCGGTGCCGCCCCCGCCGCCGACGAAGCCGTCC